AAAGCAAACCTCTAGGACTGCCTTTTTTCATTTACGTAATATTACAAAAATTAGACACATCCTGTCACAGACGGATGCAGAAAAACTAATCCATGCATTTGTTACTTCTAGGCTGGATTACTGCAATTCCTTATTATCAGGCTGCCCCAATAAGTCCATTAAGACGCTCCAATTAATTCAGAACGCTGCAGCACGAGTACTGACAGGAACTAGGAAAAGAGTCTGTCTCTCTCTCTCTCTCTGAGGTGGTGGACGACCAATATTTAGGTTTTTTCCACAAATCTATAAAATTGCTGGCCTACTCCAACAAGCATTATTAATGAAAATTATGTTAAGATGATTAAATATAATATATATAGTAACTGCAGAAGAAGTAAATGTTTTGAAATTATCAAATACCTAATGAACTTCAAACAGACAAATCCCACTGCTGAATCCCCTCCCTTAAAGAATGTGTGAGTTGCAGTCCCGGCTCAGTCTAGTGAGGTTCTGTCGTGGTAAATCCAGAGCTAAATACACACAGAATGTTTCTGCAAATTCACTAAGAATTGCAGGGCACATTTACACTACCCCGTTGTCTTGGTAAATGTAGCCCAGAATTGTACCTCCAGGGTGGAGAAAGGTGATCTGTCCTGTCCCAGTGTTCTGATCGTACTCCACCATCTCCACTTCTCCTCCTCCTCTGCTGGGCCTGCAGAAACTAATCTCCAGTCGGTCCTTCATTCTCTCCTCTGGCATGGAAGAGGGGATGCTGGAAACCTTGAGCGCCTTTCTGGAAACGTCAAGGTGGACCTACATAAATGACAGCACACATTGATTACAAGGGAGTCTAATGGCCACCACAAAGAATACTTTACATACATACTTACATAATACGTTTCAATACATTGTAAATGGACAATGTGTAGAGTACGCAACTGAATAAGTGGGTAATACATTGCACCATTGTTCTGCAAGTATTGATGCTAGGAATAATGGAACTGAATTCAGCCTTAGAATGATAATCTTAATACACTATAAGGACACGTTTCATGCAAATGTGGAGAGCAATGGAACTTGCAGAGAAGTGTTCTCTGCTGCTCAACAAATTTCAAACAAATTTTGGTGTTCAATACTATACTTCTGAAAAATGAACGCTATATGTGAGGAAATACTAATTAAATATTCATGTGTTGTCCCTGGACACAAATTGTTAAGACTTATTATTATTGATTTTGTTAATATTAAAATACAAATGGAAAAAAAAGAAGAATTCTGTGGGTCTCTGGTTAATGGAAAACACTACTCTGATTGGCTGACTATCTGATCCTTTAACTATTATTTCCTCAAATGTAGCCCACAGGTTTCAAATGGCTCAGTGTGTGGTTGTTTTTAATGGCCAATAAGTAAGGCTTGTGTGTGTGTGTGTGTGTGTGTGTGTGTGTTGATGTGCAGCACTACTTGTCACGGCCTAAAAGTTGAAAACCACCATCATTGCATCAAAGTGTACCTCAAACTTAACAGCAGGATCCAGTTTTATTCTTTTTGGTTTCACATCCACACTGATGTTGTCACAGGGCACAGAGCACTTGGCAATCTTCAGGATCTGAGAGGCCACTGGAGGACAGAAGATATGAGTAAGAAACTGCATGTACACTCATCAAAGTATTAAGGCATTGTTTACATACCACTACTGTATCTTATTCAGACTGGTATAAGATACAGTAGTGGTACGACAAATGATATTAAGCACCTGGTCCCCCAGTTACTGTTCCAGTCATTTCTGTCTTTTGAAACATATCCAATAATGGACCACCCCCTGCTGACTAGAATAGCTACATTAAAGGAAATCCAATAAACAATAAAGGAGGATATCACATGGGTGTTTCTGTCAGTGACTGATCCCGATGGAAGACATTGACACTGAGTTTTCAACTGTGAGCTGAACAGCCTGTTCAGTCATAAGTGATTTGGTACTTTGGAAGGAACATGAATCATATTTCCGAAATGCCAGCGTAGTTTTCTAATAGAAAGGATTTGTAAGTACTTTAACTAATGTGTAAATTTGCTGTATGTTGTGCATATGAGTAGAGTGTATGTATGTATGTATGTATGTATGTATAAAAAATACATAAAATCTGTGACTGTTATTATACAGAAAAGGAGTATAATATTCATAGGTAAGTTTTCATTATGTTTATAATCACATAAAACACTTGTTTTCTCGTGCAGGGAAGAGGGAGGGTGAAGCAAGCAATTGGTGACCTGCAACTGAACCGCTAGATGCCACTAAATGCTACACACTGGTATTTTAAATCTTTAAATTAATTATTGACTTCAACATTTTCATATTGTCCAGTTTAAGTTGAAATTCAGTATTTTGATTTCAATGAAAATGTGAATACATGGTATTTTGATGGTCTTGCTTTCATAAACATTTTTTTTAAACTTTATCTTTGTTTACTTTTAATTTTGGGTGTGATGAAATACCGAATTTGATTCTTCAAAATAAATTCTCTCCATCTCTGCAATTGTGTTATGGTCTGGTGTATTATGAGAGGATGTATTTCGCCCTCTTTTTTTATTCTAATCCCTCATTTGTAAATATGGTAATAAATCCTGATTTGTTAGATCATCATCATGTGTTTTTTTTTTTATCCTGAAAGCTTCTCATTTCACTCTTTTCAGCAACTGTGCATATGGTTGTGATACCCATTCCTACACACTGTTTAAATCTGAAATCAGACCTCCCTGGTTTAAATTTATGATCAAAAGCAATCCATTCTAACAGTTCAGGCTCCCTTACCAATTTTAGTTGGTTTACAGTGGAGTACCATGTATCTAGAGTAAATGATGTTATTGGGTCTAGGTTTACCTCATCTTTTATATGGGCGTGAGTCTCTCTTTCCCCAGTACTTGTGTGAATCATGAACTATTTCCATCAAGCTACATAATTGGCATTTTACCCAGTATATAAGTGGTTAAAGTTGTGTTGCATGACGTATTCCTTAAGATTGTCCAGGGTTTTTTTGCTCTTTGTTTTTGTTGAACCTCCGATCATTTTGAAAGGTCCTTTATTGTCATGTTTTGGCAAGTTTATTATGTTGGCATAAGGGAGCCATGCTGCTCTACTATACCACCCAGAAGTCATAAACACATATTTCAAATTTAATTTAAACTACTGCTACTAGTGACTGTGTTATAGTAGTGTTGAGACTAATTATGTTTGGTAAAATGAATATGAAAAGACAAGTAAAGAAACTTAGTTACGTATCATATTGTAGGGTAGATTAAGTCATGTGTACCTTTCTCCTCTTCAAACGTGATAAGTGCCTGTCCTCCTTGCAGAAGCACAGTGGGTCTCTGATGGATGGCAAAAAGTCCTCTGATTGGCTGACAGTCATCCCCCGTCTCCCCTTTATTCTCAGCTATGAACTTCACCTCTGTGTCTGGAATCTGGACGTAGATCTGGACAGGTGGAGGAACACACTGAATTACAGAACAATAATTATATGTGTTAGAAAGGCTTCTTGGAAAGTGTAGTGAACTGAGCTACCAGCTGAGTAAATCAGGGGTCTCAAACTCAAATCACCTTGGGGCCACTGGGGTTGGTAAAT